AAAAAGAAAAAGAAAGGGAATAAATCGCTTTGAATATCTTCACAAGTGAAAAAATAAAATACAGCCTGAAGTTCACTTGTAAAATTATCTCTCTTTGTGAACAAGAAATGACTTTTCTCACCAAAGGGCATATGCTTCCAAAGCCCTTACCTGAAATAGGCAAGTGTATAGAGACCGGATGGACTCTGGGGGTGCCCTAGTCAAGCGTTTAGCTACTGACCCAAAGGCCACCATCCCTTCTGCCTGAGAAAAGTGCAAGGGGCTGCTTCTGAACAAACCTAACAGCCTTGGAGAGCCAACCCCCGTCCTGTGCGGTCCTAAGTCTCTCTGAGTCAATCGGCTGGGCAGCAGCGAGTGCAGAGACAAGCGCTTATTAGTAGTTACTGCGGATGGGACAGGGTGGGGCAAGTTGGGGAGTGGAGGTGGAAGGGGACATGACATCAGTGCTTAGAAGGCATGGAGTCCCTGCAAATGGTGGTGGAATAATTTGGAAAAAAAGATGATGGTAATGAGTGTACAACATGCTGAGTGTAACCAACATCACTGAATTATGCATATAGAAATTGAACTGTTACATATATATATATATCACCTCTCTGCATGCACCTACGAGAGGACAGGAGCTCCTGGAAAATCGTTGATACGCATAGCCCAGTCCAGTTTTAAAAGGAATGCATTACCTGCAAGACTAAGATTCTGGACAGAATACAAATTAGGCTACCACTTCTGAAGTCATGTCTTTCCCCCTAAAGGATTTCATAAACCATAAAGAGAAATGCACATGTATTGTTTTTAAAGCCAAATGTATGACTTCATTAAGCCCTTGAGCAAAAGATGTTCTCATTTACAAAGGCAGATCTACCTTATGATGAAAAGAGAAATCAGCCAGTTAGTACATTTGTCTGCATATTACCCGTGCTCAAGTCTGACTGAGAATTATGGGAGTTTGTAAACTGAATTTTCTAGATCCTTTGGGTCATACAAAACAAATACAATTCTCGGTAGGCATTCACTCTCAGTGAGTTGACTGAGTCGATGAAATCGACTGTGGCCCTAGTAGGCAGTCCCTGGGTGATCCACGCAGTTGACACACTTGCCTGACAACTGAAAAAGTGGACATCCAAATCCACCCAAAGCCTTCGGGGAAGGAAGGCTGAGCTCAATTAAAAAATAAACGAAGATAAATAGTCATCGAAACCCCCAAGGAGCAGAGTTCTACTCTGAACCTCACGGGGTCACCCTGACTTGGAGCCGACTTGACATCCAATGGCCATTTGATGGCTATTAGTCTCTGTTCTCAGACAGCACAGCTACCCTGATAGACTCCTCTCTGAGGTGAGGCGTTCATGCACCTCTCATGAACCACCCACCCACACAGCACTGAACCGCGTCTCTCACACACCACAGGCGACTGTGCCCGGTACCCAGGCACTCACTGACCCGCCCAGTCCTGTTGAGTCCATTTCGGCTCAGTGTAAGCCTCGGGGCCACAGCAGGACTCTTCTCTGTGGTTTCCAAGGCTGTAGATCTCTATGGGAGCAGAAAGCCTCATCTTTCTTCAAAGGAGAAGCCGGTGGGTTTGGAACTGCCAAACTTGTGGTTAGCAGCCTGATGCTTACCCCACATCGCCACTAGGGCTCCCCCAGGCACTGACAGGGACCCTCACAAAGAAAGCTCTCTGTGAAATCAGACAAGACAATACTGAAGACAAGCGCTCTCTCTGTATGGCTACCCCCCGCCCCCGCAAAATTCATTATTTATATATTCCTCATGTTTCTTCAATAATTGAGGAAATCTTTTCTCTGAGAACCAGGGGGAAATTTTGGAGTTGCCACCTACAATGTCCTCCACCCACTCGGGGGACACATTTTGTGGTTTAGAGATAAGGGGCAGAAATGAGGATACGGCAGTAGAAGGGCTAACCGCCAAATGCAAACCAGAACACAAGGGGCTGGACTCAGTAGTCAAATCTCAACTTATGTCAGCCTGCTCTCTTTTTTAGTGCTTGTTTCCACAGTTGTTTTCCACTCCTCTCCCCTCTTTGGACTTGAGAAATCTATTGAATTCAAAACAACCTTTTGCTCAGGGCATCGCTTGTTTTGGGGTGATTCATAATTGATCAATTACACGAATGGAAGAGGTTGACTGCGAGGATAGCTTGCAAGGCAATAATTCTGGAGCCCTTACTCTCAGCCAACTCTTAGCCAACGATTTGAAGCTCTTCATCAAGACTGGAAATCACCTAGATTTGGAGTAATGAAGGAGAACGTCCGTTGGTAAAAGGAACGAGACTGGCAGATTCTCTTGGGTACAAGGTTGGTTTCTTGCTAAGACGGACCAAAAAAAGCTGGGTTGGGAAAACATGCTCAGGGCCATTGGTTCTTGCTCTGCTCGCTTTTCATACAGCCCTTCCCATCTTCTGAAATGCCCCATTGTCTCTAAGAGAAGGGCCCGCGTGGCCCTTTACTGGGCCCTCCATGAACTCCAGTCCCAATGCAGCTTGCCCTCTGGGGAAACCGAGAGTGCCCAGTGCAATGAAAACAGAGACTGGTGAAGCCTCCAAATAGCTCATCAGGGTCCACTGCCCAACTTGAGAGACAGGAGACCAGGTCATGCTCATTACCTGGACATACCCAAGGGGTAGCTGCTTCAGAGCAGCGATTAGAATGTCCTTAAAGAGAACAGAGAATACACACCCCCGGGAGCTGAAGGGTGGATAGGCCTGAATCGAGTTCACCCTTTTAGGATTTGTATGGCAAGGCCCGTAGCAGGCTCCCAAGGAATATTATTCTAGATGCACCTCTTCTGATCCCTGCACTATGCACGTTGAGTAAAATACTGTTAAAATGCTCCAATTCTAATCAAGACAGCATCTTCTCCCCCACCCATGGGAACTGCTCAAATTGTACCAATTGTTTTTGCTTCTTTTCTTTTCAGAGGAAAGCAGTAAGTGGGTGTGCTCCAGAGAGGAATGTGGTCCCCTGAGGAGGACTGGCCAAGTTTACCTGCGTGATCTGGCTGCATAAATGCTGTGGTGGAGGTGTGGGGGAACAGGGCCAGGGTGTCTCTGTGCGTCCCCCGGAGATGGATGGTGTTCCCCTGGAAATCAACGCCATGCATGTCGGTGTCGGTGCCCATTCCAATCATATGCCAGGAGACTCGATCCTTTTTGCACATGATTAGGCCTGGCTGGTTGCCGTACATATAGCCATTAATAGCTAGGTAAAAAGAAAAACATAGTCAGAGCTCACTCTAATCATGCATGCATGCTGACAGTACAGCTTCTTGGTGAAAGAGGAGGATATCTCCGAAGAGGGTTCAGATATTTACACCTTGATTTACATAATTTACAGAAGATCTTTGTTACCACAGATTAAATGGTACTGGGGGAAAATACACAGGGGATCCATTTAAAATGGAGACAAAAATTCATCAGGAAATTACACTAAAATTATACAACTGTCCTATTTAACAGCACCAAATCTGAGAATCAGGAGCCTTGTGGTGCAGTGTTTATACATTGGGCTGCTAGTTGTAAGATCAGCAGTTCGAAACCACAAGCCTCTCCTCAGAAGAAAGACTAGGCTTTCTACTCCCGTTAAGAGTTACCATCTCAGAAACTCACAAGGGCAGTTCTGCCCTTTCCTATCGCGTCACTAAGAGTCAGCATCAACTCGATGGCGTGATTTTAGAGTTTGGGGAAATCTAAGAATCAATCAGGCTGGGGGTTTGGCATACTTTTTCTGGCAAAATTGTTTGGTGCGTGATGTGATGTCCTTGCTTTCACATTTGACTTTTGCAGCCGCATCATAAAAGCTTCATTCTTCTGAAAATGCTTGTGGATTTCACAAGTTTCCCCCAAACTCTTGCCTAAAAGCCCCAATGGGAAAATCATTCTCTTTTAAGGTTCCTTGTCTGCCATCTTCCATGAATGTCTCTCCTTTAGTTCTGATTCACTTAATTCGACCAGCTCTTCACTTGTCTATGGCTTTGCACTCGATCCTAAAAGTTATCACAACTTCAAATGCACGAGCAACAGAACGCAAACCAGATAGCTGGGAACTCCTGAAAATTAAATACTTAGGCTCAACGAAAGACTCACAGCTACAAGATAGATATAGATGAATGTTAATAGATATCACTTTATTGATTTCCTGGACCCTGTGTCCTTTGAAAGATCTGCCAATTGATTGGCATTCTAACCCCATATCTGACTAAACATTGGTGAGAGATGAGTAGACCCAGTCATGTGGTATTAAATGAAGAGGAATTTGGAGGGGCAAGGCATAGAAGGAGCGTTATCAGGGTGTGAGAGGTTAGTCTTTGAGTGAATATTTTTGCTTTGTGAGAACTTTTACTTCCCTACCTGAATTAAATAACTCGCTGGACTTTAATGATCATATTTAGAGAATGAAGGTCCTCTCTACCTCCAGAGGAGCAAATCATTTCTCTTTGTCATCAAGTCAAGCCATTGGCTGTGGCTACGTAGACTGCTGTCACGAGAAGCATTTAGAACCACATCCAGACTGTGTGGAGACAAATGCCACAGTGAATAACAGCACCCGAGGACTGCGTGCAATTCCGTCTTGTGCTAGCATCTCTTACCTCCACACCCCATTAATGCCCATAGTAGGAAATAGCCACCACATCAATGGCCTTCTGCTACAATCTTATTTCCAAATGAAATTACTTGGTGCTTGCTAATTTTTGCTAGATACCTGGAATTCTTTGTAGAAATTCCAAAAAGCCCTGAGGCTTTGGAGAAGAACCTCCTATCTTCTGGCAGTGGGGAAAACTTTGATAATGCTTTTGCATTATCTACAAAATAAGAAAGAGGTGTCATGTAAGTTGAGGTGCGAATAAACAGCCCTGGCTTGGCTGGTAGAGAACCTTCTCTTGCTTTAGACCTTTCTTTCTGGATCATTCATTTAGTTATTCAACAAATTACCTTTTGAATATTAATCATAAAAATAAATGCAATGCAAGTCACTGTGTGCTGCATATGGGACTTCCATTGTGGTGTTGTTGCTATCTTTCTTCCTCCCATTTCATACACGTCAAATGAAGATGGACTTTTATTTTTAATTATTGTGTGAACTTTGAATTAAGATACAGTTTCCTTGTCACATGTTCGGCATTCCCAAAATCAAAGATACGTCTCCCATTGCCAAGTCAGGCTAGACCTGCATTTGACATTGTCTATTAGATTGTATAATTGTTTCTAATAGAAGTTCCTCTCTTGTTTATAATTATATGTTTGTTTGTAAGATAGCTTCTCTGAGAGAAAGATGGGAATTTCTACTCCCATTAGGAGTAACAGTCTTGGAAACTTGCAGGGCTATTCTACCTTGTCCAATAGGGTCACCATGAGTTGGCATCAACTTGGTGACAGGGCACACATCGCTTCTCTATGAACAAATTGCTACTTTTCTCCTGAGTAGCTTAGCTCCCCTTTTATATTGGTTAATATGAAGCTTGAAAACAAATTTGTAGCAAGATATCTTATAGAAGACTTGGAAAAGCATTGCCAATACACTCACACTTTCCACTGGCCTGAGGGGGACTCGGTTGGAACTGAGCACCTGGACCCCAAGAATCTATGGGTTTGTTCCTGTGGGTCACTGGGAATTTGAACTTTGGGGCAGAAAGGATTGGGCTCTATTTAGTTATTTTCCCATTACATTTTAAAAGGCCATGAAACTCACTCGATATGATGCTTGGTCTTAAAACAAGCAGTCTAGCACCTGTTAACTCACAGCCCTTCCTTGGGCCGCTCCTTTTGGCTGCGCACCCTTGCAGGTCTGTGAGTTTAGACTCTTGCACCTCACTCCATCAACAGAAACAGTGTCCAAGACCAATTAGAATCCCGTGTTAGTCATCTCCACTTGCAAGGTAGTTTGCTGTGGCGACAACTGATAGAAGACGTCAAGCAAGAATGAGGTGATTCTTCCCAAATGAATATCTGGGATAGGAATGACTAATATTTTACAAATGAATATTTTAGACAATCAACCACACTGCTCCCTAAGAGATTCTTTGCTATATGATATTCATCTCTGATTATCATTCAATGTGACCAGACTTAACGATATGACTGGAAACACAAGGGAGAGCCCTTTGTCCATCATTTTCCACACTTACAAAGAACATCACTATGATTATTATTTATGTTTTACTTTTTATTATAGTTTGGGTGAAAGTTTCCAGAGCAAATAAGTTTTCCATTCAACAGTTTATATATATATCCTCTCTCTCCTATACACACACACACCCACACCCACACCCACACACACACCCCGTGCCCCCAATGGCACGATCCCCCACAATGGGCCACAGTTCCCTCCATGTAACTGTCACATGTTGTGCTGCTACAGCAGTCTTTTCCACTGTCCTCTCAGGGTCCCCTGTTTCTGTATTTGTCCTTCTTTCCTGAGCTTTCCTGCCTTCTGAGCTTTGTTTTTTAGCCAAATGTTGCCTTTCGGCTTGGTGCGCACAATTGTACCGAGGAGTATACTCCTTTCTGGTGTTATTGTTCATCTAAGGGCCTGCCTATTGTTTGGCTGAAGGTGGACCCCGAGACCGGGTTCCGTTTCAGGGTTGAAGACATCGAAAGGCTCCAGTATGGAGGGATCCCACTCGTTGACATCAGACCAGTAAATCTCATCTTTTTTATGATATTGAATTTTGCTCTCCATGTTTTCCCCCTTCTGTCCATAACCTTCTATTGTGATCCTAATCAGAGCCGTTGGTAGTGGTAGCCAGGCACCATCTAATTGTTTCGGTCTCAAGGTAGTGGAAGATGTGGTTCCCATGGTCCATTGGTCGTTTGGACTCAGTTTCCTTGAGTCTTTGATTTTCTTCATCTTGCTCAGTCCAGAGGAGGAGAGCTCAATTGTTGCATCATAGAGGGTCACTCACAAGCTTTTAATCACACTCATCAAAGTTAGAGGTAGAACATTATCTTTGTGGCCTATGCTACTTCAATTGACCTAAAGGCTTCCTGACTCCATGGTCCTAAATTCTCAAGCCTATTGATTTGGCTATGGTGTTTTGTTAGGGCTAGGAATTTCTCAAAACGTTTCCCCCTGTATATTCTACAATATTCTTTTGGAAATGTTTGCAGCACATACAAGAACACATGAATGTAGACTATCTGTTGACAACTATATGTGTGTGTGTGTGATGTCATCCTTGTGAGCTCCAATTCGATTTTACTTCATCTAACACTGATAGAGTGTTTTAGAAGTATTATTGAGCTTCGCAATGTCTCTGATGGATAGAGAAGTTTCACCAGACCTTGTTAAGCTGAAAGGCATAAAGCAGCCCCCTCATGACCAAGAACAATACCCCCAACACAAAGATCAACAACCAAGAGTATGAATATGACGGGGGAGGGGGATGAAAAGATATTTAGAACATTTCTCAAATATTTTCACTTCATACCATGCATCTGGTTGGATTTCACAAACTCTTTGTCCTCTCTGTCAACACTGAGGGGTCGCCAGGTAAACTTCTGAATGTTTTCATCAAGATACCTGCTCAGATTCTCATCAAAGACCGTGAACAGGAGGTAAAATTCCTTGTCCATTCCTTTCTACGGCGAAGAAAGAAACGGGTGAGTAAGAAGTGCAGCCTGCAGGAATTCTTAGCCCGGCTTCCCTCTCAGATGAACACAGAACGGTAGGTATACCACCTGCATCAGCCGTGGATGCGCCACGTCATTTTGTAAAGAGTGTGATTCTGATGAATACATTCCCCATTCAGGAAACCCATCTTTCTCAGTAAACCCTGCCCCTCCCCCAGGGGATTTATCCAGAGGAATCCGTCCCTGCTGAGACCTTTCTAATCTCCAGGCACTCATAGGGCCTCACTCTCCTTATCAGGTCCTACTTGAGGGGCCCCCATCTCTCAGACTCCATCTCCTTGGAATCACACAGCCACCTCCACACCCTGTTCTTCTGCTGACAGAGCAGCCCCACTCCTGCCCCGGGTCCTTTGCATGTGCTATTTCCTCTGGCCAGAAGGCCTCCACGTGGGGCTCCTTTGATCCCTCCACTCAGCTCTGCACAAATGTCCCTTCCTCAGAGAGAGTTGGCCTGACCGCCACGTCTCAAAGAATCACTCAATCTCCACCCCACCACAAGCTCACTCTCCTGGCTTCACTCTGCTTCACCTTTCTTCATTGCACTAGCTTCCTCTGAAAGGACATTTATTTTTTAACTTACTATTTTACTGTTCCTTTACGACACGGTAGACTTCCTGAGGGTAGGGGCATTTTGGGTTCTCTCAATCCCTAGCTCCATGAATAATGCCTGAAACTCAAGAAGTGCTTGTGCATGACCCAAAGGATTGATAACAGTGATGAGATTTGCTGAGTTGTATCCATTTGAGTTGATGCTGAGCAGCCTGTGGAGGACTATTCCCACCGTGTTCACCAGTCAGACTGGAAAGACGTGACCAAGAACCTCCTGAATTTCAGAGAAGACCTTTCTCCAAATCTGAAGCAAAGAGGTGATGATTTTCCACCCCTCTGTGTCTTCCTGCCTCAACCTGGGCCCTCTTCTGACCTACCCTCCACCCCGCTGCCTGCCTGCGAGGGATCCTCAGCAGAGTCCTCTGACCTCACCTCTCTTCTCCACAAAGTGGACACTAGGATCCAAATGCACCACAAACGGGTCCCCACCCACTTCATCTCTTGACCTTTCCCTTCTGGCACCTTGACTGAAGCAAGGCCGAGTCCCCAGGTCTCTCTGGCCTTTCTGTGTTCTGCAGACCTTTGTCCTTTGTGTGTATATCCATCCCGCCCCCTCCCCCCCCCACCCCAAACTTGACAGTCTGCCACTCCTTTCTCTTTGTAACCCCCTAGTCCAACCTGGAGTCAGCCCTGCTGTCCCATCCGTACTGCTTTTCTAGCTCCACACAAAGCTGGAGGTACTCCTACTACACTGCACCTTAGACCTTACAGAGATTGACATGAGCGCTTTTTACATGTTCCAGGATCAGTGGTTCATGGGCTATGGAGAAACCATGATAGGTTTGACATTTCTCAAAATAAAATATTGAAAATTGAGATCAAATAAGGGCTCAAACAAATATCTATTGTAAAGGGAGCAGGCCAGCCTGGGTTCTCAGATGCCAGGCCTTCTGCTGGCCTGTGGTATAGCCTGGGGCACGTGATTTGCTTTCTCTAACCCTACTGGCCTGCTTTGGAAATGAGCACAATAGTTGTTCCCACTTCCTACTTTTTGTGCACACTAAATGAGATGATATGGTAAAACATTGAACACGACCCCTGGCGATAATTAAGTACTTGATTAATGTTCTTCTTATTAACTATGCTTGCAGTTGTCCATGAGACAAGAATGAAGCCGGGAAGGAAATGGGTTGGAGGGTCTCATCACATGAGGTGTTTGGAGGATAACTGAGGAGATGGGAAGTCAGTCCAAGTCCGGGTTAGGAGGAAGTTGACAGGGCCCCACCACCTGTGCATGGAATGCTGATGGAGAACCTTCTGAGAAGCGACCACAGCCCCCAGAGCATCCAAACTGTGGTTGGTGTCTGCACCGGTGTGTACGCAGCATCCAAGTCGTATGTGCCAGGTTCCCACAGCAGCAAGTAAACTGGGAGGCCTGAGCCCTAAACCGTGGTCCAGCTCTCCGTGCTGAAACGTGGGTAAGATAAGTAGTTTTACAGAGACGGTGGTCCAGGGATGTCCAGCATCTATTTCTAAAGGAGAAACATGAGGCTGTTGGACCCCTTAAAATTTTATAATCCCAGAAATGTTACACAGTGGTGCTAAGAGTCCCAACAGACCGGATGGCAATAGGTTTGACATCCACGATCGTGTCGGGAAGGTGAGCATCACAAAATGCCAGGTTATTAGAACAAAGTGGTCTTGCATTGAGGGAGGACTTGAGTAGAGATCCAATGTCCATCTGCTACCTTAATACTTAACATTTAAATATATGTACATAGACCTATATCTCTATTGCTATATATTAATATATTTACATATATGCATGCCTTTATTTATACCTCTATAAATGTCTTTTGCCTCCTACTTCTTTCCTCTATTTCTTTCAACTTTCCTCCTGTCCCAATACCATGCCGAACCAACATTTTATAAAGATCCCTGCAGATTGAACAAGAATGAACTGGCCTCAGTGCTGCTTTAGGGGGTCAGATGATGCTTCTCTGAGTACGTGACAGGAAGAACCAGCTATGCAAAGGGCCAGGGCAAGGGCATTCCGGGCAGAAGGAGCCCTAGTACTGGGAAGAGATATGGTGAGAGATGCTATCAGACTGGGTAAGAAGTGTCGATTTCATGCTAAGTGTGAAAGAAACCACTGGAGGGCCTTAAACAGGGAAGTGATTTGATCTTTGATTTGCTCTTTTACCAAAGTCCCAGCTTGCTGCCCTGTGATGAAATAGACTGTGAATCAGTCTGAGGGGAGGGCAGGAGTGACAAAGGGACAGCCAGGTGCAATGCACGGTCCTGCATGACAGCTCAACTCAGAACAAGGGTGTTTTCCTTTATGGCATAGAGGACATTAATGAGACAACTAATAAAAATATGAAAGATCTGGAGATTAGATAATAGTATGGTATCAAGGTTCATTTCTTGATGTTGCTAATTATAGTGTTTTTGTCAGAGTGACCTAGTTTTGAGGACACTTGGAAGAGACATCAAACCTGCAATTTGTTGTCAAAGAGTGGAGTGGGGAGGAGTAAGCAAGAAATAGACTAGTACAGCAAATAAGGCCAACTGTTTCTACTTTGAGAGTCTAGGTGAAGTGCTTAGCTGCTAACCAAGAGGTCAGCAGTTTGAACCCACCAACTCACTGTTTCCATACAGTTTTACAGGCTTAGCAACCCTAGGAGGCAGTCTTCCTCTGAATGATAGGGTCACTAAGAATCAGAAACAACTCAATGACATTGAGTTTGTTTTGTTTGAACAGAATATAGGAATACTAGGAATTATTTAAGGGTTTGTTTTGCTTTTGACTTTTTCTGTAAGTCTCAAATTATTTCAACATAAAAAGTTGAAGATAGATGTGGGTGAGTAGACAGAGGAACAGAGGAATGGATAGATTGATAATAGAGACCAGAAGTAGAGAATTTGACTGAATGATTGTTGGAAAGCATCCTTCCGGCCAAATTCATTGACATCCATCCCCCACTCAGGAGAATGCATAATT